CACTTCAACTACCGCCAAGAATTGTGGTCTAGCCCCAGTCGGGATAGGCAAAAAAAGTTGGAGGGGGAAATTTCAAGACTCAGGTGCTGTTTCATCACCTCACTCCAGCAGCCCGGCGGGCAGGCCCAGCTGCAGCAGACTGGCAGTGGGGCCAGCTTGCTTTCACTGCTGGCGGCTGCATGTGGGAGCCGGGGCAGGACGGTGTCCACCAAAGCACACAAAAACCTCCCGGAGCCGAGCGCAGCCGTCAGGTTGCTCGCCTACGAAGGAGCTCTGGTGACGGGGGTCCTGAAGGAGCAAGCTTCGCACATGGTGTATGAGACTGACAGGACTGTGCTGGGTCTGGCAGCCCTTGGAGAGCCGCATCCGCAAATTGCATCCACTTTCGAAGGGAGAGGGATGAGGCTGGACGTGGTTTTGAGAGCTGCTGTCTTGGCTGTCTTCCTGCCTGGAGCTGGGGAGTCACATGCGCGTGTCAGGCAAGTAGATGACTGGAGATAAGCCCCCGGGATTGCGACGTTGCACAGGAAACCTGGTTCTCAGCAACACAGCTGTGGGGCCTGAGTGGAGTGGTTTGAAACTGCTCACCGCAACCACACTGAGCAGAGTAACGCTGCAGCGTGGCGCTCTCGGGGCTGGCGCACCGAGCCCCGCTTTGCTTCTCTCGTGGCACGGCCTGTCTTTCGGGCCCACGGACTTCCTCTCCTTCAGTTATCAGGGTTTGCGTTGGTTTCTTGGTTTTTCTCACTCGCTTGTCACCAAAAGGTGTTTTTCTTGTGAGTTATTTGTGTTTGTTTTTTTAAGTTTAAAAAGCAAGAGCCTTTGTGGGGAGGGGGTATTCCAAGGAGCTGGCAATGATTTCTTGCTCTTCTGCCCTGGGGGGGACACGTATGGAATAAGATGAAGGGACAAGTTAGGACTGGACTGGGGGTGTGCAAACCCCAGCACCCGGGTGCGAGTGCACATGGCATGGACCTGCAGCAGGATGAGAAAGTGCCCAGATACTCGTAGCAGACAACCAGGCTGCACTGGTCAGGGGAGAGCTCTGAGCAGAGAGGAGAGGAAAAGAAAAAGAAGAGGAATGAAAGACCAGTCTTTTGAAGGAAGAGGTTCTGGGAAAAAATTTCTCAGTGACATAAGCACAGCTTGGGAGAGCCCCAAATGCGGTGGCACACACCTGGGGTTTTGCATAGGAAGCTGCTTGTTACTAAATGGAGCAGTCCCTTGCCTACCGACCTAGTCTCCTTTCCTGTCTACTCATCTTCCATGGCTCTGCCGATCCTCATGCATCCTTTGTCAGGTCCTTGTACAAAGCTTCCTATAACTTCTCCTGTGTAAGAACTCCTGAACTAAATTAGCTAGTGCTGTCTATGCTGTAAGCTCCATAGTTTTTGTTACCAGCTTTCCTAACATCCCCACTTTACAATAGGAGGTCTAAAAGTGCAGCTACTTCCATTAGAGCACATGATGGGCAAGAGAGCAAGAATTAAGTGAGAACTTTCAAATTCCTGTTCCTTCAGACCTTGCTTCTCTCCTGAGCAATAAACCACTTTTTGCACCCAGTCACTCAGACCTTGTGTGTATATATATCTAGATGCTGTCTTGTGACTCCACTCCTTTTTGATGCCTAAAGAGGAAGATGCTGAGCCAAATACAAGGAGTAAACTTGGCATCATTTGTTTAGCAGCACAACTATATCCCCCGCCAGCCAGTGACCTCACATTAGTTAGGCTGCGTTTAAACATCTTGCTTTAAAACTTGCGAGACTGCTAAATCTTGGCCTGGTAAAACACTGGTAACCGAGTATTGAAAAGATACTCTGTGTCACTCACAGCAGGCTCTGGCTTATGTGTAAGGTTACCAAAGTGGGAATTATCCGTGAAATGCTTATTATTTGTGCTTTACTCTGTGTGAGGGAGCTGAGGGTGACTGCTGTCTTGCAGGCAGGGCAGGCGTAGGTCTGCACAGCTCCCTCCGGTGCACGTCTCAGTGCGTCTGCTGCAGCAGCGAAGCCTTGGGTGCAGCCCCCCAAACCACGGCTCGCGACTGATGGGCACAGGTAGCAGGCATTTCAGTTTGATGATACTTAAGGGACTTGGTTAGGCTTCTCTTTGTGCAAATACTGATGAGGCAGCAACTCCTGCGCTAGTGATTTAAAAATCCAAACCGAATCTGGTAGCAGGA